TTTTTTTTTTTTTTTTTTGCCAGCTCCTTTCTCTTGTCTTTTGGAGACACTCCTTCCTTTAACACTCTTGTAACTTTTTGTACAATAGTGATACTTCTGCCAGGGTGATCTTTCTTTGTGATATAGTCATCTGTAGCCCAGAGTTGGCAAGTTCAGCTGCCTCTTGAGAACCTTTTCAGTAGCAAGGTGATCTTCCCTTGAACTTGCAAGTCTCTTCTCTAAACAAACAGATTCTCCAAAGTCGTCGGCAAATACAGCTACGTTGGGATAGTAGAAGCCTTCTTTGCGAGCGCGTAAATCTGACAGAGATTACATTGCCACAGAAAATTCCCCAGGTCACGTACCTTTCAGTAAGGTACAGCTGAAAGTATCCCATCTAGGGAGAGGTTCAAGCCACAAAATTCTGATCTAAATTGAGGTTAAATTTTTATTTGCTTCAAAACACAACCCTGTCAAGATCTTGGTTATCTCTCATGCTCTTTGGTGCTGTGCTTTAGGATACAAATCCAGATGAAAAAATGTATGTGTGATGACTTTAAAACAGTAGTTTCAACAACCTTAAAAAAATCTGAGATTTAGGCACGATTTTGGATGGCCTTTTTCATCTGAAAGGCTTTGACCAAACTCAGCAGAGGGAAGATTTGGCAACAGTGAGTAGAGTGTAAGTATTAACAAAATTAGCAGCTTGCATCTGAGCAGCCGAGGCTACAATTAATGTGTTGTGTGTTGACTGCAGCATGAAAATGTATGAACAATGATAATCTGTACAGAGCTTTAGTATCTGCCCTGTGTGTGCTGTGTTTTAGAAGATGGCAGTGTATGGCTGGTGTAGAAGATACAAAAGGAAAGTGCTCAAGTTGGAGGAATTAAAGTTCTATAATTAGAAATGGTCTGTTAAAATTACATGACACATGGCAAGCCTGCAAAACTTGGCGTGTGGAGAGCATATTGGCAATGATTTACAATTAACCACCACATTGCAAATCACTCCTTAGCTGTTTTCTATTATGAAATTTGGAGAGTTGTAAAATGCATTTGTGCTACTTTATTTCCTTTTGAAATGGTAATTGCTACTGCTGAGGGGCAGTACTTAGTGCAGAAAATGAAGTGTGCAGCATAGGGAGGAACTTGTTTCTGAGGAACTGCTGAGGAATTGTAATGATCTGAAAAAAGTGCTTTCTTGAAACATATACACAAAAAAGAGCTTCATTTATGAAACTCCAACCAAATAAATAACAGAATAAAATAAAAGTCTTTTTTTGTGCAAGGACCAATGCTTACTACTTTGTTGCTGACTGCACTTTTTCCCCATTGAAGTGGGAACAGTGGATTGACACTGGGTAAAACTCATAAGCCAATGGCTTGAGGGAAATGCAGATGTATGGAAATGTGGTAGGAATGCCCTAAGGTAATGGTTTTTCAGCCAATGTGTTTGAAAATTATGGAGTGTGCTTCTAACTACTAGCCCATTTTAGATACCTAGTATAGAACTGACAGTGGTATGGCCCTGGGGAGCTGGATGAAGTTTGACTTTTGTGTCTGAAGAACAGAGGCTGTGCAGCCTAAGTGGAGAAAACAGGTATGTTCTAATTAAGTGGTGATAAATTCCCCCCTTACAGTTTCCCTCTTGATTGTGATTGTAAAAATGTCTATGTTTATGAGTAGCTTTTATGGAGGGATATATTAAGGAAAGCAAGGAGTGAGGCTTCTCAAGTCAAATTTTCTAACTTGTGACAATAATCATGACCTCTCAGGTAATAAAGTAGGCTATCTAGCTCAGGTCCTCAGTTTAAAGTTAATATATTTGAAAGCCAGATGATTGACTGTAATTTTGCTCATAGTACTTTGTTGGTAGTAGTAAATAAAAACATCTACAGCACTTTTCATCAGAAGTGTCATAGTGCTTTCTGAACCTTAATCGATTAATTTTTATGAGATGGTGGCATGGTTATTTCCCTTTCTCTGCTGGAGGAACTGAAAGGATCAGGGCAGCAACCAGCAAGTATGCAGCATCTAGTGCAATAACAAAGGCTTATAATGCCTGGATCTAGAAGTATGGCTTTTCAGGATCATTTTACAGTTAATACAGAGACAGACTCAGGCATAATAGTCCTTTCATAAATACATTTGAACTGGCATTGTGTCTTAGAATGACAATAGACTGAGTTGATGCTACCAAGATGGTCCATCTTGACACTTAGGAAAATAAGCAGTTGTATTGGATCATCTGGGCTAAGCAAGTAACAGGGCCGCCTTTGCCTCAGACTTTACTAATAAGGTTTCTCAGGCTCTGTGCTTTGCATCAGGGCTCAGGGAGGAGGAGTGACCAGCATTAGGTATAAGCTGAAAAAAAAGAGATTTAGACCAGAACTAAGGGAGAACTTTTCCCCATGAAGATGGTCGGGCAGTGGCACTGACTGTGCAGGGAGGTTGTGCAGTTTCCATTTTCGGGTGTTTTCAAAGCCCAACTGGACAAAGCCCTGAGAAACCTGATCTGAGCAAGGAGTTAGACTAGAGACTGCTTAAAATCCCTTCCAGCCTGTATTATTCTGTGATTTTCACATTTGTGATTCTGACAATATTTTAAACCCTCTGCTTGGCTCATGCAGTTTTGTCCATCTAAATAAGAAGAGGTTCTTCAATGAATGATTTTCACCCATGGAAATGATTTAAATAGATGACGTTCTAAAGTAAATGCTTTTGAATGACAAATTACATACAACTTGAATACTGGCATAGTAATGGCGTTTCTGCAATACCTCAACTACCAGTGGTCTTTCCATGGACACACATGCCACGTACAACCCAGCGAGAGCAGGCGCAGTCAGTGCAGCTGTGCCCACTCCTCACAGCAATCTGGCTTTCAATCTAGGATGACAGTGACCAGAGTTGAATAAAATCAGGACAATACAGTGGCATTACATGCAGATTTCAGACTCATTCTGGTTTCAAAAACAGCACCGGAGACTCTGTATTTACTTCAGGTCTGGTGTCTCCCTATTTCTCAAGGAGAATCTGTGGTGCCTACATGGGAGTATGTTCTCCAGCTGTTAGCAAGGGTGGAATGGGAAGGAGTTCATCCATAAGGAAAGGGCTGACTGTAGTGTTCTTGTCTGCTGTTCTCGTGATACAGCTCCTTGCACTCCAAGCAGCCTAAGTGTGAAGAGGAAAGTACAGAAGATGATGGGAGACTCTGGGGGTGCATGCACTGACTTCAAAATTACAAACTTTGGCATAGGAAAGTGAAATTGGCTTGAAAGGAGGATGTATTAAACCTATTTGACAAACCCAGGGCAAAAATGGATGCATTCGGTCCAATTTAGCCAGGTTTTAATTTAGTTGGAGACTATAATTCTGCCTGGAAATATACAGTTTCCAAAACCAGCTGATGATTTGCAAGCACTGCATTTCACAAGCATCCTGCTACCTGTTGTCCAACAGTCATGAAATTCTCTGCTTTGCCTTTGTGATCATGTACAGCTGGGGTATTTTGCAAGAAAAGATAAAACTGGCTAATGAGGTAAGGATTGTCGCTGTAGAAAAATAGGGACAATGGTTAGAATTTAAGGGTATTTAGATGTGTCTATTTCAGTGGGGCTTAGGCAACTGTCAGTATACTTATATTTATAAACAAAGGAATAAGCAAGCACCACATGTGGTAAATAAAATAATTGCTAGTACAATTGTTCATGTTTTGCGTATGATGAAATGGAAAGGGGATCAGTCATTTTATCAATAGCACCAATATAAATCAAGAGTAATGCAATTACTTTTTGCTTATATAATTAGGGAGTACAACTTTATCTCAGATAGGTTAGTGACTTTTCATGAAGGTGCAGGAGTCAGTTCCATAGCTAGAATTTGAATTTTCCTGCTTCTGTCTTGGACAAGTTGATCATTTCTTCCTTCTACTGTACACCTTCTAATCATAAATGCCAACCGTTATTTCTCCTTCTCATTCTTATAAACACTTGTTCTTAGTGTTAAGAAATGGCTACAGGTTTTAAATTGTAACTAAAGCTGTAAGCAGATTCCACAACATACAGACATAAATGATGTATCTTAGAAAAAGGAGCTCTTTCCTGTGTGTGTATAAATTGAGGCAGTTCAGTTTGCAGCTACTTAAATATCAGTGGACTATTGTTTGTTTTCACTCTGAATCAGGAATATAATGTACAGGCATACTTCGCTTCTCTTTGATACTGTAATTTTTTTCTGTTAAAACCTGAACAAGAATCTTAGGTATAAGGTTCTTATTTTACTGTCAAGATGTGTGCTTTGGAAAGTATGAGGGAGACAAAACTTCCTATTTCCTTTGTGTTTTCTCACAGTTTTCCTAATATTTGCCACAGTATTGCTCTTGCATTTTGGGACATTTATGCATCTGACATCTGAAGAAAATTAACCCTTGGAAAGCTGTGCAGAAGGTGCAGGGTGTATACCCCGAGACAGATCCTGAGACAACACCTGCGTTTATAGCCTATGGACTGAATAATATTCCTGGGATTAGATGTCTCAGATGCCCAGTTTCTCACATATGTGCATACTTCTCTAAAAGCAAGATATTTCTGAGGTAGTAGCTGCAGGTTCTCTAGGTTTCTGATCCAGCTAGTAATTCTTTTGAGTAAATCACAGTTCTGAAGGGAAAATTAGCTATAATTGCTTAGACCTAAAGCATCAAGTTTGGGAGTGTTGTTGCTGTCAGAAACCATTTTAGCTCCAACGAAATACAACTTCTCAAGGAATAGTTCTCATCTGCTATTTTTCAATCACTGAAGTATACAAGTATATTTGAAAAGCAAAGTGCTTATGATTATATCTGCTTTTCTAAGTTTAACTGTAATCAGCAGACTAGGAACAGAGTGCACAAGTCATTTTATCTACATTATTTGTGGAGAATCTCTGAGAACACAGGAGTGCTTCTGACCTAGTTAAACTCCTGCTATTTTGAAAATTATTATTAAAAAGCCATCAATACTCTTCTGAGCCCACATACTCACTTGTTGCCCGGTAACCAGAAGGATGGAGCCTTCTTTCCCATGTACCACTTGCCGGTAAATGTGATCTAGAATCAAGAGTTCGCTCCAGCAGTTCTGAAGCAACTTCATTTGGTCATCAACCTGTAAAGCAAACATGAACGTTAGTGGCATCACTCTGGGAGTAAGTTTTACAGTACACAATGGAGTCAGTCCTTTTTAAAGCATCTGGTTAACACCATGAGAACAAAAATGCTATCAAAAATTATTCATCCACAAAATTGCTGTTCTCAGCTGAATAAATAGGACACTGCTGAAACCTTTATCTGTAAAATGTATAGAATATTTACTGCTGATTACATTTTAGGATAGAAGAACTATGGCAGCGTTATGCAAAGTAATAATAATAGTATATTTATTAAATGCTCAAGGAATTGGGGTATTATTTTTATCCAAAACAAGAATAGTAGAAATAATGCTAATCTGAACTTTCCCATACTCCCCATCCTTGAACCTTGACTTCTAGAAATAGTAAAGAATCTGCAGATTCAATAGGATTATTGCTGCAAGCAGCCCAAGTCTGAGATAGGTCCCTTGCAAAGGAAAAAGTGAAGAGAGACATAAGCACTCCCTCTAAGAATGGCTGTGGTACTATGAAAAGAAGAAAAAAACCTTGTTCATAAACAGAAGTTAAGCCGCTTCAGGTGTCACCGGTAGGGCAAGGAAGGCTTGTGCACAAGGCGGTAGTGAGCAGTGAGACACATCACTGACTGCATTTGGTAACAGAAGGAACAGAGTGGGCATTCAGCACAAGCAACCTACATTAATTTTTTGTGAAATGTTATTTGGTATTTGCGTATTATTGGACAACAAAGTGTATCACTAAAATGAGTCCTATTGCAACTGGATTGCATTCAGTTTCATTCACTTTAAAGACTGAAAAATAATTAAGATTTCCATGGAAAGGGGAGAAAAAAAATCATAAATTAGTAGAAGGCAGACTATGAATTTAAGTCATGGTAAATATCAAAATCCTGTGGACCTGTTTTTACTGAACTTACTGATTTCTTCCTAAAATTAAACAAAGTCTTTGACTTCAGACATGTGTCCTGAAAGACTAGACAATTAAGTGTCTGGTGTGGATGTGGTAATAGAATGTAAATAGTCAAAAGGATTCTAAGAACCCACACAGATAGCAATTGCTTAACAGATTTTAAATGCTATAAATTGAGAAGTAAAAAAGAAATTAACAAAGATAATATTTAAAGTGGAAATGCTTAGAATTTCTGAGACATGGAACTATTAGAATTCTTTCTCAGGCATTCTAATTTCAGCCACTTTAGAACTAGATTTTGTAATGCACAGGAAACCTCATTATAAGGAGAAATTTTGCATGAGCTGAATTAGATAATGCAATAGATGTTTTCAAATTTTATCAGCTACAACCTAATGAACTTCTGAACTTTATTCTTTCAAACTTGTTTTCTGATTGTGTGTTAGAGAAGGAAGTAATGTTTGTTACTAATAGTTTTTTGTAGTGTCACCTGTGGAAGTTACCTACTGTTGTCTCCCTCTTTCCAGTCACTTGCCATATAGCTCAGACTTTAACATCTTAAACATCAAAGTAATTGTTTGCCTCCTTCATTCATCTTAATTTCCCTTCTCCCCACTCACAGTCTTCTCCCAACTGTTCTTGTGGCAGTTTCTCCCCCTTAGGTATCTATCTGAAATTACTCCCTCTTGCTGGACTGTGCAAGCAATTGAAATCAGGAGAGAAAGGGAGTAGATTAACACAAAGCCAGTGGGGAGAAAAGGACATAAGAACCCCTGTGTAGGAGATCGTGTTCCACCACACAGTCTGTGCTAGGACCCTCGATTCTTGCTTTTGCCTGCTCCCTGACTGCAGCAGGTGCTGGAAAACTGTACAATTCATTCCTTCTACTACTGCTTTATCTAGAGGATGATACAATTTTCATGGGATTTTGGTTTGGTCTGGGTTTTTGTAATAAATTTTTTATGCCCCTGCCCCTTTGTTCTTAAAAAAAACCCAAAAAACCCAAGGAAGATGATATAAAAAGATCTCTGTCAGAATAATATCTTAAGGTCGCAAAATCCATCACTGCGGTATTAGTTAATGTTTCTATTGTCCTATTCTTATCTTCAATCTGCATTTGTGTTATAACAGATTTTAATGCATAGACAGAATAGGGCTGAATTAGTGTTGTGAAAACACTCAGTTCTGATATTTCAGATGTTTTGCATGCTTTGGCTTTCCAGTATTAAGAATAATCTTTTATCACAGTTGCTGTTCTGCCTACAGTCACAGTTAATACATGTATCCTCATGGAACTCCTATAAGCCACATATCCACTGGCAATAGAGATGGAGGAAAGAAAGAGGTGTGGGCTCTGTAGATGGATATATTACTAAGTCAAAGTAAAGCTAGTGCTATCACAAACTCAGCCTTGCTCTGTCCCTATGCTGTCTGTGCCCATGATAATTCATTTCTGTTCAGATCACAGAGCAAGGATGATTCTGTATTAAAGAACTCTTCCTCTGCCCACAACATGTATTTGACTATAAAACCATTTCAGCCAAAGGACTTGTTAGCTCAAGAGAGGGTAGTAAATTACTACATTGATACACTCCCTACCAAAACTTGGGCCAGGTTTAAAATAAGGCAATATTTGAAGAAAATGTTTGAAATTTACAATTCTAGTACTCTTGCTTTTTATGTGAAACTGTTTTGTGACAATTTTTTCCTCTCTATAACAAGGTGTTACAGAAATCAAATAAATTATGCTAACATAATAATTTAATCCAAAATTATAATTTCACACAAAGCTATCACAGCTTACATCTGAATAAACAAACTGTGAGACAGTTTAAACATTCAGCATCCATGTCTTAACAACTAATACCTGAATAAGAGGTCAAGAATTTGATTATATTATAAACTACATATTTTCAGTCAACCCATCTGTCTTGGCCACAAGCTTTTGAAAACAAACTACACTTTACAGGTTTGGCTTTCTGAAGGCCCCAACAGCAGATAGTCTGCAATCAAAGCTTACCTCCCAAGCTTTATCATATCATTACCGAGCCAGTGCTGTGAGAACAGTATGAGATGGCAAAATCACAAAAAAAAATGTTTTGCACATAGTCTGTTCCTGCTGTTCTACAAGACTCATAAAACTAGCAACAGAGAACATCTGCTAGTGGTTCACAAAATCTGCTCCTCCATATTCACTGTAATTTAACCAGTGAAAGCCTATAAAATGGATAGCATAAAAAGCACTGTACACACCCGCAACACAGTACTGCCTTCAGAAGACTATTACATCCAGCTGCTTTTGCCATTTTAAGAAAGCTGGCGGCAGAGCAGAATGGTTCACAGTTTGCACTCAGACGAAATAGAGATGACCTGAATGACGGTCATGGATTACTAAAATGAACAATTCCAGCCAACTTCTGAAAGACATGTAGATGAGGAAAAATACGTATTTTATCTCTGCTAATTGTTATGAAATGAAAAATAGAAAACAACATAAATCACACTGAACATATATTGTAACACATCACTTCTTATGTCAGAATGAGCTGGTAAACTTTAGGATGTGTGTAGCTTCAACCAGAAATCAAACACATTTGTGTTTCCATGGCATGTCAATAAATGAGTTGCAGAAGCATATTATCTGGCAAAATGAAAAAATCAGCCTTTCATGAAAACAAGTATGTGCCTTAAACTCATCCTGAAGGCAAAGAGGTTTAAGTTTTGGTGGCTGAAGAGTAAGGTCCTCTACGGAAAAAGCACCTTGTGGACTTCAGTCTTCTGACTCCAAAGCCAAAGCATGCTAGCCTGCATTAACAGGGTAAGCAGGAGAAGAGATAAGATTCTGTCACCAAGATAACTTAGCTCCAGTCTGGGACTTCTCAATTATGGACATAAGTTTCAATCATGGTATACACTGAATTAGAAACAAGCTCAGGAACTTGTACTACTGGCTAAACTTCGAGGTTTTTCAGTTTGTGGAGATCTTTCAGAGTATTATCAATGTTTTAACAACAATAGGAAAAAAGTGCCCATTGTCCCAACTACTGGAAATGCTTATAAATAAAAACTGAACATCATACAGCCAACAACTGCCTGCTGCAACACTCCTCAAATCTGCAGCTGTTCCCTGCCATAACAGAACACTGACACAAGGATAAAGCAAGTTGTCAAATGAGATACCCATCTGACAGCTATCTAGCCTCGAGCAAAAGTGTGAATGAATACTGTGACCAGATGGTTAAATTTAGGTCCTCTCCAGCCAGTGGCATTCAGATGAAGACACACCAGTGGGGGAGTTCTTGCTGAAGAAATGGCTTCTAATGAAAGGTGTGGAGAAGGTAAGGGAGGGTGTGTGATTCAAAAGAAACAGGGGATCATTTCCAGCATGCAAGGGGGCAGGAAAGAGTAATAATGTTATGAGTATGAAAGGACTAAACCATCACATCTCTAAAACTGCTGCTAAGTGACAAGGGAAGCAATGAGATTGCTTAGGAGGAGGCTTTAAAGAAGGGGAAGGGGTAGGCAGTGCAGTGAGAGAAGACATAAGGCAAGTTAGATGTCAGGTAAAACCTTGAAGGTGAGGATGAGACTGGATGAGATGCAGACTTAAAGGGTTTGTGTGATAGTAAGTGATGCTGCTGGGGCAGAGAGGAGCAAGTACTTTGTGTTAGTGAAGCAGAGGATAACAGTTGTTGCCAGCACAGGCAGAAGTCCCAGAGGTGAAAGCAGGGATGCAAAGGTGGAGCAAAGGATAGCTTTCTGATCACATTAATACATAGCGATAGGTAAATCCTATTTCCTGTACCAAAACCCTATTTGCCTATGCTTACAGCAAGGACAAGGAAGCATGTCAGAATTTGGAGTCATCCATAACCTTGTGTCTCATGCTGTTTGGACTACTTGTAGTGTATTCCTCAAGTCATAAGCTGGAAGACAAATGGTCATTGCCTCAACCACACAGTGCCATCCCACTGTGCTGCCTACTTACTACAAAGCTAGACAGAATAAACTAACGTAAGAGCACAACTAAGGCAAAAATGGCCTCGCAGCATCTGGAATGTTGATAGGTAAACAGGTAGACATGGTGAAC